CTTTATTCAAAGTTGTTTGTTTGCCTAAAAAAATATGAATAAGTGTCCAAATAACAGACTCTATTAAAGGATATTAATTCCTATGAAATAAAAAACGTTAACGCGCACGTCATATTGTTTTTTATTAAACCTTTCACACATTATGCTAATATTTTTCTTAAAGCAGTTTATGCCGCGCACCGAGACTATGTGGAACCAGCAGCCCACTGAAGTATTTCCGAACCAATTTGACTTAGGGTCCTTCTTAAAAGGCCGGCAACGCACTTGCGAGCCTGGCAATGTGAGTGTCCATGGGCGGCGGTATTACTTAACATTAGGTTTTACATAAAAAATTGTAATAATAAATTTTAATACACTTATTTTCATTTAGACTCGACTATATTCGAGTTGTGTTAAATTCAGTATCAATTGTAATAGATAAACGCGTTGTAATTTGGTAAATAAATTATCTATATACACGTTTGTGAAACTGCATTTCTATATATATTTTACACGTTTCATTAAGGCCAAATATTACACGTAAAAATATATATAATGTATGTTAGGAAGAGTATACTCTACCTTGCATTTTAATCGCGATAAGATAGTTTATATTTAGCTAAATATTCTCTTAAGTTCCCTATAAACCTATACAATAATTTATTAAATATGATAGTTATTCAGTATTTGTGTAACGAAGACATCGGGAAGCCAAAGATATCACATATAGAGCATGGAGTTGATAACCCGTAACCCCGTTATCTTGAGGAAAAATAGGTTATTACTGCAATGATGCTCTTTGAACGACGCATTTTGTCTTTGGTACAGTTAAAGCAATTTAAATAGGACATTGTCAAAATCGTATTTAAAAGTTTTGATATTTTAATAGCGATAAAAACGACGACTTTTACTGTATCTTCTCCAGATTAAAATCTCTTTTTTAACAAACGAATTTATTATTACAATAGTTCTAGGGTTGATTCTGTTATCGCTATTTGAGACGTATATGAATACGGACTTACTGTCACGAAAATTGCGTTTAAACAGAGACACGAGAATATTAAACAGACCCTAGTTAATGACAAAAATTAGTGTAGTCTGTCAACCTACATAATGGGGCTCTACCAAATGTCAGTAAAGAACTGTCGAATCTATAGCCTTTACCTTGGTTTTACGTGGTACGAAAATTCAATATTGTAATCAGAATATAACTATTTATTGATGGTATAATATATATACATTTTAGTAACTTCAAAAGTCCATTTCAGTACCGAATGCCTCGCGTCGAAATAAATCAATCAGTTCGAATTAAAACAAATGCAATCGATCTTAATAAGAACAAGTACATGTCGGGTTTAAATCACTCGTTTGTTTCTTTGTGCCTTTCTGTTTGTTTCAGGATAATTTAGGAACACAATGCGATACAATAAGATAACTGATGTTTAAATTGTTATTTATCTCATAGTAGGAGATTCGATTCATGTATTTATTACAGCATATATATTTTAACCATTATATAAAGTTATTGTAAATGATAATTAGCACTACAGCTTTATCTATCTTTTCTAAGCTCTTTTAAATGACAGTACGTAGAGTATAATTCAGATTATACTAGTGTACAGACTAGTGTGTTGGGCCGTTCTCTCGTGGGAGCTTTAGGTAAAATCATAATTATTAGTCATGTCGCAAAGCACTTTTTATAATATCGTAAATAATAAATGTCTTCTTGGATACTTCTTCTTCAGTCGCGCTCTTCATTCCTGTAGTTCGTGTTCTCCTGAATCAGCAAACCTCTGCGCGTGGGTGATGGTAGGACCTTCTTTTTTTTACTTGATCGGTCCTGTGGGTCCTGCCTCGAAATTGGATGCCCTCCACTCTGCCAGTCTAGATTAGTTTTTCTAAATTTTCTGGATCTGCGTGTTACATGTTCAAAACAACTCGCGACGATTTTTTATCTGTAACCTTCTTAGTATGGACACGTTTGTTACTTTATCAGTCCAGGTAATCCTAAGCATCCGTCTCCAGCACCACATCCAGAGCATCTGTTATCATATTCAGCGCCATAAAGGAAATACGTGGTCATACATTTAACTGTAAAAGGACAATCAATGTTTAACTTATTTTTAACCCAAATACATAATAATGATAAACTATTCATAACAAAATATGGCTGAGACGAAATTGATCTAATGCTAGCCCACACACTAGCCTCTGTGTTGTGGATGACTACAGCCCTGCGATTCTGTAACTCACTTTCGAACTCACACAGCGGTTTCGCATCGGCGGTCGCACTCAAATCAGTTGTGAAGCAGTCATTTTATGATTTGGCATTCTCATGAATAATCCTGCTTTACGACTGATTTGAGAGCGACCGCTGATGCGAAAACCGCTGTGTGAGTTCGAAAAGTGAGTTACAGAATCGCAAGGCAGTTCTTCCTTGGTACATGTTTAAAACAAAAGGAATAAAAAAAGGAAATGATTTTTAAGAAAAAGTAATCAATGTTAGATATAATTAACCAAAAACTCGTAACATTTGAGGAATATTCAAGGATTAACACACATAATATTATAGGTCACCCGTAGTTCAGCTACCTGCACCCAATTACTCAGCCCACATCCAGACGTGGGAGGGGGTGGTCACGATCAATGATATGCACATCTTGTTACTTCAGAGGCTCTAGTGAAACATAACTAAAAAAATAAAAATGTATTTATTTATTTGAAACGATTCATTATAATGTGTAAGATTGGGAACCTATAACAAACTTAATGGTAAATTCCATAATATATTTTTTAACTGTTTAGAATTTGCGTGAGTGAATAAGTGTGTGGGTGCATGTGAGTGAGTGTAATGTGTGTGACATATTAGGTCTCAGTAGCATCTCCAACTCTGCGTAAGGTATGTTGAATTGTAAAAATACAATGATTTGTGGCCTTACTTTTATTGAATGTAAAATAGTATTTAATTATCATTTCTAGGAATACCTCCTTATTCTCCTTATTCTAAGGAGGTTCCTATATATTATAGAGATAAGACTTTTGTAAAGCATTAATGACAAAAGTCGTCTTTACATTATCATAAAGAGGTAAAGTTTGTGTGTCGATCACCGGATCTACAATTCGAATTTCAAAATGTTTCACGACTGTAGTTCCAATTTTAAAAATTACTTGACCAAGTGGTCACTACTTTAAGCTATTATTCCTGAGAGACGCAGTAGCGTATAGGTTACTAGTTGTTCATTTAACACCTCAGTGTCTCTACAAAGCATTATAATGTCCCAAGTATTACAGTTTTTATGCTTGTACAAAAAACGTCTGAAAAGCTGAAAACTTCCCGTATATAAAATGATAGAGCACTTCTTGGAGTTTTCCCTACAATATATATTTATAAGGGTGGTGGGCGGGTCGACCTTTGACCCGCCTCACCGCCCTTTCAACCTCATTCCTTATTAAAACTCCAACAGTATTTCTCAAGATACCTAGCTTTTGTATTTTGGAAGTAAAATAATAATTAACTTGGCCTTGAGGTACCAAGTAGCGACGGCAACCAATTTTCCCCAAATTATGTTTCTATTTATCTGTACCAAGATTTATAATAATCAGTTTAACCGTATTTAAACATATACTAGATTAGAACTACTACACTACTACTAATTTATCACGTGGAAGTAATTTACTTATTGTGATGAATTTGGATTAGTAGAAGAGATATTTTGAATAAAGTCCTGTCTATAGGTATGTTATTGGTTATTTAAGCAGCTACCGTTCAACGATTTCTAAGATAAACATTTAATAATTACGAAGACAAGTTAAAAAAAATAACATTAAAAGTTATTTTAAACTCATTAAAAGTACTTATTTTGTTTACCTATTATAAGAATTTAATATACGTTTGTGATACTCAGTGATCTATGCGTAATTCTTATTAGATTTTGATTGTACTGCCAACAAAATAAAACATTATGTCCAAAAAACATTGTAATGTAAACCTGACAATAAAAAGTTTTAAAAGCATAAAAAGAAATACATTCCGTTAGACAATAGTACTAAAAAAAGCAAAATTCACTGACATTGACGGACGTGATGCGCACGCGACGAGCGCTTGACGAGTGCGCAGGAGTGGCGCTATACGCCCCGCCCACTGACGCCCCGTGATCTAGATCGATCTAGATCACTGCGGATCGATCTTTATTATAGATCACGCGAGTTTAATTGCTCACTTGCATAACGTTGAACAAAAATCTTCATATATTTAAATTAATTTTCAAATTAAATATACCTATTCAAGTTTAACGAATCTGTGCTATGAAGTAAAAATCTCTAAGTTTTATACTTCAGAGAAATATTTAAGTAAAAATACACAATACTTTACCCTAGTCTTATCTATGTAAAAATATTCAGCGTAGTAATTCACGTTGCGAGGCGAATGCAAAAACTAGTTGAGTGAAACATCTGTCTGAAGGCTGAAGGAACTAGGTATAATAGGGAGCTATAGGTACTCCCGCAGAAATATGGACGTCGGAAAGTTGATACAAAGTAGGATTTTCATGTACAGTCTGCATATAAACCTATTTAACATGATTCTTTTTCTGTTCGATTTCGACGTTATGTCTTAATAGTTATAGTTAAAGACATCTATTATTATTTAAAACGTTCAAAAGGTATTTAAATACAAGAGTCGAAGAATAGACAATTCTTCGATCTAGAATTGAAATAAATACATTTCAGATTTAGATAATTAAAAAACATACCATACCATAATACCCAAAAATTTTGGAGCGTATTTTGAATAAAAGATAAAATATTTAAAAATCCCGTCCATTACTATGAAAATGTTATCTTAGAGAACTAGGTTGATGCGTAGAAATAAATAAAAACCAGAACACTATCCTAAAGTTTAAATAAAGGTAAATATTAAAACGTTCCTTTGTATTTCCGACCGTACCGGCTGAAAGATTTTCCCCCCGAGTGGGGGTTCGGAGGTGGCGGGGCCTTCGCTCTGCCCCCGGGCCACCGGGCCAATGGCGGAGCGGCGCGGCCTGCACCGTGCCACGACCCGACTCAGTCGCGACTCAGCCGCGACCCTTGACACACGTTTGACGCGCGCGGCCGCGTCCTACCCGTCGCCCGCTACCGGCATCATCACGCACGGAGCGCTAGTATACGGCGGGGTCGGTGGCCCGGGCCTTTGCCCTCCGAGAGCCTCCGACCACCCGCCTCTCGAACTCGGTTTCCGCGGCAGCTGGCGCGATGATGAACTGCTGCCCTCGACGCCCGCCAGCCAGGCTGCGTCGACGCAGAGCGGCTCCTCCGTCACGGATAAAGGCCAAAACGTGGAGTGCGTCGTTTGCGGAGACAAGTCTTCGGGAAAGCACTATGGCCAGTTCACTTGTGAGGGTATGTAGGCAGTGAGTGATGTGTTAAAGTGCTGTGACGTGACGTGCTTTTAACCTGTCGGTAACGCTTTGAACTTTGACCCCAAATTCGCGCAGTCATAATAAGTTGAAGGTTTTTCACTGTCTAGATTTTTGGCATTTTCTTTAAGATATAGAGGCGATTTCATTAATCGAAAAAAATTAACCTTACAACATAACCACGCGAAACAATTAAGAACTAATTGTAACTTTCGAAAAAGTTATAGGTATAGAAATAGCACAATGTCCTATGGGAGTGATTACTCAAATAAACCTCGCGGCTAAATCAATAAATATAATTTACGTACAATTATAAAATAATCGCGGTTATCCCGCGCTGTTTTACCTTTAAATTGACGTGGGCATTGACAGTGATTAATAATCAAATGTTTTTCATTTCTTTTAGTAAATATAAGTTTTTAATCGATTATGGATCTACTAATTTAAATTATTCGATTATGTACATCCTAATTTCAGTTCCCGTTTGCATAATTATTTTTACTTCTATTTCCTTACTCTACTATTAAACAGAATAAGACAAGACTATAAATTACATAATAATAAACGCCCAACTCACAAATACCAATTAATTAAAGGCTAATTAAAAACAAAGTTTTCAAAGACTGCTGTTTGAGATAAGGGGCGCTTAACTTTTATGCAAATAAGTCAATTGAGGAATTTGTTGATAAATCAAGAATTTATCCTATTTTACATATAAATTATTAGCTTATACCTCCATGTCTAATGTACCGTAAATCAAGATTTGCTAATATATTTTAAGTGTTAGAAATCGTGGTGATAGATTGTTTTCTCTGTGATTTATGTGTCTATAATTTATTACAATAATGGGGAGCTTTCAATGGCAGTTTATACTAGATATGTATATGCAGCTTCGTCTAGAATACACCCTCTTTAAAAACCAGTAAGCCACTATATAGACTTTGATATTACTTACCGCGAGTAAGAGTAAGCGTGTAATTCGTTATTTAATTATCGTCTATGCCATTTATTTAACGCGGGTAAATAATTGTCGGCCATTGAAATAAATAAATATTTTATTGCGGGGAAAAACCAGTCTCAATTTTATTAAATATTAAAGCAGAATTTTTGTGTCTGATATGCTAATTTCAAGTCTATGAACAAAAGAATAATACGATATTATTGATAAGCATTACAAGTAGGCATTTATGCATTCAATACATATATCTAAACGAATTTATAACCTACATGACTCCAGCTTTATTCATAATCTATTGTCTCTGGAAAGAACGAATGAATATCTTAATTTCACGTGACATTTTGTTTTTTTAAGTGTCGCTTACAAAAATCCTTTAAAAATATAACATGATTAGCAAGAAATATAATAACAACCATTGTTATTACTTTTAAGGATGACGTAATATCTGAAATTTTATTTGTAACAATAACAAGCGTGAATATAATTTGGTGTATAGGGATTATTTTCTGTACACGCGAATGTCGTGTTACAAATTTCTTCTTTACCTTTAAGTCATATTAGGTATCAATTAAATTGACCTAAATACTAAGAATAAAACCCTTTTAACGGCAAATGTACAGAATTACAGTAATAATAACTAATAACTGTCACGCGAGGTACATTTTAATAATAGTGTTGCCAACTTATTATTCAAGGTATAAAATCTCTCAATATCCTATCTATGGCCAGTCTATATAGATAATGTCCGTTTGTTTATCTTTATTTGTTACTTATTAGAATCTTTTCTTGTTTTTGGATACAATATTACATAGACATGATTTCATTTTTATAATAGGTTTTCGTTTAATAGTGAATTTTGGGTGTTGCACAAAAATGTACTAAAAACAAAACAAAGAGACGCGAAAGTGACTACAGATCGAACAGCTATTTGACATCAATTTACACTCACTCTTTTGATTTATAATCTGTTCTTATTCTTATATGTAATCAAATACCGGCAGTGCAAGTTTACAATCGCAATTAATTGATCAGAAATATACATAGAAATTGCCTGATTCATTAGGAGACAAAGGACTATTGAGATTGTCCGTTAGAACGATGCAGGTAATCACCGGTTAGGTTTCAAACATAATTATCTAAGTGACTGAGATAGCCTTACAGATAAAAAATTGAATGAATCTTGGGAACCTCTTTCACTCGCCACTAACTATTATGTACATCTAATGACAGTTGCTTTTAACTATACATCTTATTATAGATATTTATATTTTTAATGACAGCTTATGCCTTAGTTTACCTTGCACTGCCTTGCAGTGCCATCTATCGATATTTATTATTATACACTTTTGAAAATATTAATTAAAATATTATTATATTTAAATCGAATTCAAAAGTACAATGTTGTTACATAGGTATTGTAATTATTTTAACCTTTCTTTATTTTTAATTAAGATACTTAATATAACATATTGTAAGTGCCTCATATGTTTCTAAATTACATTTAAAAGTAGAATTAACCCCATATGCGCGAGATAATTCGCTTATTATAGTGCATCGGGCCCAAAGACAGCCTTGACCCGTTCTGACCTCAATGACCCTATCGACTTAAAAAGTTACAAATATGCTTTTGTGTTCATCTGCTTATATTTTCTCGTAAACACAGTTGATTGCTAATTTAACTCTTGAAAAGCTTTCTCAATAACCTTATGTCAATTTCGCTGGAACTTTATTCCATTTGAAATAACGTACTTCTTTTGGGTTTTAAGTTGTAAATTTTATCCGGTAACTTTTTTTAATATCATTATCTTAGGTCTTCAATTTCGGAATCTCCACTCCTAGTCTTTAATAGGTAATTAAGTTCATATGTATATCTACATTTATAAATTAAATTATTTTGTCAGGTCAATAGATTTTATAGAATTATTCCGTGAGCTTTGAAATTTAATTTTCGATCGTATTTTTCTCAATAAAGATAAATGTCAACACTATTTTATAGGTTGTAAAACCCAGACATATTATTATAATTTTAATAATTCTTTTGACTGAATCGACTATAAAAATTAATGTTTGAGTTGGGCCCATGTTGCGTATGTAAGCAAAATCTTCTTTGACCATTTCTGGAGGTTCAGTTTATTGGAAAATATGCCTAGAATAAGGAAATCATTATGAACTATGCGGCTAAGAAGTGGGAAGTTGTTATGTAAAATTTTATTCAAACCAGGCATTAGAAAAAGTGCTTAGTACTTTCCAGAAAATGCTTTTAATTATAGTCACGTCCATCGCTCAAAAAAATTAATAAATAAATTAATTAAAAGCATTTTAATGACCGTATCAACCAGCCCTATTTGTAACTGACGTACCAAAAACAACAGAGCATAGCATTCTCTGTGTTATATGCGGAATTCCCGCTTTCACAGATAAGAAAACAATTTGGCATTAGCAATATCGTTTTTAAATTTCGTAACACAAAACCAGACGCCTCTTTATCTAAAATGGCGGCAAGTTCTTAAGCTGGCGAATAAAATCGTTTGTATTAATAATTTAGAGTGAATTTTACATTCTTATCACGCGTGGCGCCGTATGGGTCGTGAACTTCGCTATCTTTTCAGTAATATCGGAACCCATTTGATATTTTTGAATAAATTTGTTAGATTCGGTCAATTTAATTCCATTGTAATTTATTGTTGGAAAGTTTATTGTAATTTGAATAATGCGTAGTTTAAGTGGTTTTGGTACACATGAGACAAATATTAGTTTCTAATACTAGGTATATGTTGTGTTATCTTTTAGAAAATGCCGTTCGTAATTTTACAATAAATTCAAAATTTACCTTATAAAGGGCGACCATTAGTGCTGGCCGTAAATTGCTATTTTGATGTCGACAAATCCACTTTATTAACAGGTGGACCTCCCGCTGTTCCACTTGGAACCTTGTCAATGTAAACGCCTATGAATCATTACGAGAAATGCCCTATTACCTTTATGGTGTTGCTTCGACAAAGTTCTTTAAACGCGCTCCTTTTGACTTAAATGCTCGCGTCCGTGAGCGACATTACATATTTGACACCTAAGTTTAGTGATGTATTATATCGATATTTTTTTAAGTTGAGAATCACATTTTAAAATCTATTGATAGAGAAAATATTAAAAATGTATGTCATACCATACTACAGCTAAGATATTAATTAACATACTATAGATTTTTTAATGTGTGATATTGCCTAACGAACTTTCTATATGTTTTATAACTTGATCTGTATCAGTGTTCTAAATTGCTGTTCCACCACGTTTACATGTTATAAAACAAATTAAATTATGCAAGATAAGGATCATGTATTAAGCGAAACATTTCCAACGTTATATGTTATATGACATGTATATTATACTCACATAATACATAGAATGCGTCCATTTAAGACAATACAACATAAATACTTTCATTAACAAAATCCGAATTTACGACCGAAGCGAAAATCGAAAACGATAAAAATTTCACACTATCGATACACAGCACAACACTATAACCGGTCACTTTATGGTATGTTTTGTCCCGCAATACCGTGGCAGTTAACCCTATCTTTACGAGCGACTCTAAACATAAGTGTCTTCCTCGACTTATTTATTTTTATCTCATTTGACTTTTTAAATTGAATCCACTATCGGCCCGTGTGTGGCGCTCTCTCCGGCCACTAAACCTGTCAATAAACTTAAATTGTATGAATTAGTGACTTCTTTTAATGAAATCGATACTTTTTTATGTTATTTATGTACAACACTAGTTTTCTAACATATAATTTTGTCACATATTTGGGGCATCTGAAAATATTGTAAATTTGTCGTAATTTCGTTTACATGAGATTCGGATTTTGTTAATAAAAGTATTTACAGTCAAAACCGTTTACGAAGACATCGTTTAGAACAACATACCGGTTATATTGACCAAAATCAAAGGTCCAGGATGAATTCTATTGTATTAGGTACTTAATAAAATCGTCATCGGCTGTTACGACTATCGGTTTTTACAACCACATAT